TTTCAAATTCCTCCGGTTTGAAGAGCGTTTTCGAAAAGCTCTGTTTCGTGACCGACTGGTAGGGAGCTTGAGCAAATGACGGCCGAGAACCCGAGTACATCGCCTAGTAAAAAAATAAATTTACCCTCGGTTTTCGAAATTGCCTAGATCTGTTACTGCGGCTATCGCTGTTGGCTTGCCTAAGCAACTGGCGACCGGCTTATTGTTTCCCCGAAAAGGCATGGTGATCATTTAGCCCTGGCCAAACGGAATCGCAAGTAACCACAAGTTGAACATGCATAAAGACTTGTAGCCTGCAGAATAGGCGTAATTCTTTTGCGTGTTTTAGGAAGCGGAGGCGAAAGCGAGGCGAGCGCGAGGGAAAGAGCGCGAAAAACGCGTTATTTGTTTTGCGCTGTTCCCTTCGCGCGCAAATCGCGCTTCGCGCTTGTCTCGCTTTCGCCTCTGTTCACCTAATAAAACACGCAAAAAAATTACACACGTTCAACCCTGGTGAAACGGACTCCCAAGTAGACGTAAGTTGAAAACTTGGGTCTACTTGCGAGCCTGCGTGTGGCCAATCTTTGCGTGCACTTGCGTTGAATTGCGATGACTTGCGCTCACTTTGGTCGAGATCAAATTTGCACGCAGGTCGACGCAAGATTTTCACCGTTTGGCCACTCAACCCAAGCCAACGCAAATTGAGAGACGTCCATTAACCTATTATTAGCCAATGAAATACAGGATATTTCTGACTTGAAATGGGATTTTAAGCCCTGGCCAGACGTACTCGCAAGTAATCGCAAGCAGCCACAAGCAGTTGAACTTGCATAGAGTCCGTTTATGTTGAAATTTACGTAGAGCCCTCGTTTGGCTAGGGCTTAATGGGCATTACTCAACTTGCGTTATCTTGGGTTGGGTGTCCAAACAGTGACAAACTTGCGTCAGTGACTTGCGTGCAAATTTGATCTCGACCAAAGTCATCGCAAGTCAATGCAAGTGCACGCAAGTTCTGGCCAAACGGAGTCGCAAGTAGACCCAAGTTTTCAACTTGCTTCTACTTGCGAGTCCGTTTGGCCAGGGCCTTAGGACTAATGTACTGAGTTGGATTATTATGTCACGTTCTTAATCCTCCCCAAAAAGGTCGCGAAAAGTAACGGCTTGTGGAATCTCAGTATCATAGATCATTGTTTGATCGGCGTGAAAATCTATTATGCAAAGACCAAATATTGAACCGCTTTACCAAATATTTAGAACATCGCGGAATCGATTGATAATTTTTTCAAGCATTTTATATACCGGCCCAAATTAAATTCGTATCACCAAAAGGGAATAAGAAACAGTTATTAGCAACCTCACTGGAGGAGTCAAGAAGGTGAGTTTGATTCGTTTCAGAGATCGTCAATGTTTTGACTTCCAGGCTGCTAATATACACGTCAGTGATCACACAGATCACTGGTGAATTTTTCACGGAGAAGACCATACAATACAACACCAGAACCATGGACAGGTGGTAAAAATGCTTTCCGTGTATCGTCTGAAGATCGGCGTCAATTAGTCGGTTGGACCACGAATTTTGTCTCCACCTCTAAAACCGAGATAAACACCCCGGTTTTAAAAGAACAGGTGAAATATTCAATGTAAAGGACTTTTTTTTATGTAATGCGTTGTTAACAATGCGATCACGCCGCAGCGATATGGCCTTAAGGTGGGTTGGTTGT